GTGAATTGTTGATGATAGCCAGTCTGACAGGTGTGAGATCGTACCTCATTGCTGTTTTGATTTGCATCTCTCAGATGATTAGTGACTTTGAGCATGTTTTCATGTCTCTTGGCTTTCTGAATGTCCTCTTTTGAAAAGTGTCTATTTAGGTCCTTTGCCCATTTTTTTGATTGGATTGTTTATGTTCCTTTTGTTAAGTTGTAAGAGTTCCCTATAAATGTTGGAGATTAAACCCTTATCAGTGATAACATTGGCAATACTTTTTCTCTTTTAAAATCTGGTCCATCTCATTTTCTTAATTTATGACATTTTAGATTCTGTGGCTCTTTTAGACTTAAATCTAGATGCATTGTTAATGTATTCCAAATATAGAAAGTATGATACCCTACTTCATCAATTTTAAGACATGCTTCTTCATACTTTGAAAAATGAGATGCATCTTAAAATTGATTTGTATCATAGTTTAATGGAGGCATTTTTCCCCTTGGTGGTATGTAAAACTAGTAAGCAATCATTGATGTTTTATGCTTGATAAAAAGTGATGGTTCTTTTTTAAAAAATATATGATGTGTGGTATATCCTTGTGGTAAAAATCTAAGTGGTGAGAATATACTAGTATTATACTAGAGGCCCAATGCACGAAATTTTTGCAAGAGTGGGCCTTCCTTCCCCCAATTGCCGGCACCAACTTCCCTCTGGCACCCAGCACCCGGGACCCGGGCTTCCCTCAAAGCTCTGGCTTCGTCTGGAAGGTTGTCTGGTCTAATTAGCATATTACGCTTTTATTATTATAGATTATTTGGAATTATAGACTTTTAGTGTTTTCTTCAGATTTCTTTCTTTTTGTTCTCACTATCATATTCCTAGTGTCAAATCTAAAACAATTTAGTAATAAGTTTGATGTTCTTTATTCAGTGGAAAACAGTCCGGGGGTTGGGGGTGTACATTGCCTACTAGCACTTTCTGAGGGATTCTGGGCAGGAGCAAGTTTTGTAGAGTGTTCAAAGAGACAACAAGAAAGGGCACATTGGGCGGGGAGCTCCGTTAGCAGGTCCTACTTCCTAGGGTAGGGTAAGCTGGCTGAAACTGAGTTGGAGGACTGATTGGTGTTAGGTTCCTTTGACAGTGAGGTGTTCCCCTTAGTGCATGCTGATTTGGGGTTAGGTTTGTGACATGGATGGGGCCACTATTTTAGGGTGGCCTTCATTTTGTGGGTCTCCATATACCAATTAACTTTATCACTGATTACGTAGGTGTTTTACATTAAACTGGTTCCCTATCTGTGGAAAGCTGTCCAGAATTTTTAAAAAAGAAAAATGGAGATCAAGAGAAGGAGGCAAGACTTGGGGTTGAGGATGGGGTGGAGTTGATAGTGGGTGGGATCTCCAGGATTAAGAAAAGAAAAATGGGGCAGGACATTTTAGGAGGCCATTACTAAGCATTTTTCACTTTCCCAGCTTTACTTGTCTGGAAATCCTTTTCAGGTTAAGTCTCTGGTTGTGACATACTAGCTTGTGCGCTACTCAGTAGTTATCTAGGGAATACTCACCTCAGCCTATTCCCTAGATTCCAAAAGCATAAATCCTCTGCCAAAGCCTTTTTTCTGCAGAAGTTGCCCTGGTACCCCTCCAGCCTTTCGGGTAAATCAACTGCTGCTACCTTCTCTTTTATAGGCCACATGGAGTTGTGTTTCCTCATAATCTTCGGTCTCAAAATTAATAACTAAAAGGGGAATGCTTAGGGAATATACTTTTCTACAAGGAACTATTATATTTATGGGAACAATGAAGTTTGTTGGTTTTTATAGTACAAATACTTAGTTTTTGGAAACTTCCTTACTTTACTCTGTCTTTCAGTGTTTAGGTAGAGATTGGTGCAGTCTTTCCACTTTACTTCAAATATGGGTGCTGAGTTTTATATATTCCTGACAAAATATGCCAGTCATCACTCTTTATCAGTTAGCATTCACGTGGTTCTTTTTCTGCTTATTGTCCTGCCTTTGTTTCCTTTTTCCTCAGAGGATGTCCTGAGTAAAGATACTGGGGAATGTGCGATATGCCTGGAAGATTTGCAGCAGGGGGACACGATAGCACGGCTGCCTTGTCTGTGCATCTACCATAAAGGGTGAGTTTATCTCTGTGCTCACACAATGATTTTAGCAAAGATCTCCCTAAGAGTTTCAGACATTGTAGTGAGGGCGGAAAAGGATTCGTCTTCACTGAAACTCCCTCCCCCCATTTCTTAACAAATAATGCCCCCTTTTTTACTGCTAGAATTAAGATTTAAGCCCTTATCTGTTTGTACCCAAAAATCTATCATTTGTCCAGCATTTACTGTGACCCAGGTATTGTTCACAGCTTCTAAAATCGGTCTCTCAGTAAGCCTTGTATCAGCCTCATTTCACATTAGGAAATAAGCTGAGGGACAATAGTAAAAAAATCCCTCCAAGGTCACCTGGCTAGTAAATGGAAGAGCCGAGGTTCTACCCATATCTGTTTGACTCCAAATTCTACCTGGTTTCTTCTAAAGTATTTGTGGTTTCAGAGCAACACAGGAAATATTTTAAACTAACTGCAAGAAGAATGTTAGCCAAGCTGTCGTGTATGTGTGCGTGTGGTCTGTGTTAATCCTCACCGAGGAGATTTTTCCATTTTTTTAAAGAGAGTGGGAGAAGGGGAGAGACAGAGAGAAACACTGATTGGTTGCCTCCTGCATGCATCTCGAACAGGGCTGGAGGTCGTACCTGCAACCAAGGTACGTGCCCTTAACCAGAATTGAACCTGGGACCCCAGGCCAACCCTCTATCCATTGAGCCAAACCAGCAAGGGCCAAACCATCTTGGTTTATGGCATGTGCAGACTTGAAATGTGTCAACGGAGAGAATGTTAAATAGTTTGAATCCTGGGGAAAATTCCTGGCTGTTGGGCAAGTTACTTAAGTTTATCATTTGCCACAGGAAGCTTTCTGTGGTAATAGAAGTGTTCTGTATCCTTACTGTTAGTAGAGAAGCCACCAGCCATGTGGCTGTTGAGCACTTAAAGTGTGGCTAGTGTGACTAAGGAACTGCATTTTTCTTTCATTTCACCTCAATGGATTTAAGTTTAAATAGCCACATGTGGTACGTGGCTACTGCATTGAACAGTGCAGATCAACAGGATAATGGTGTGCACCCTAATATTTAACTTCCCAACAGAATCATCAAATACTTCATAAATGTGAGTGGATGACGATATACTTATTTGTGTATGTATATGTACTACAGGATGGAACAGAGTTAAAATAAGTATTTAATATTCACATATAAATATGGTCTTTTTGAATGTGATGCAGTATTGTCAAGAATTAAAATTTAAAAGCAGTTTTTGATTACATTGATAAGTGATATGAACAGGTTGATATATAAATGAATATTTTTAAGAGAAACACAGCTTTTCAGATTTGTCATTTGATTTTGAATATTGGTAAAGTGGTAGTTCTTTTGATTCTTTTTATAATGATTGCTTAAACTTCAAAGTATTTTATAGCATAATTTTACAAAGATTATTTCCTTAACTGCTTAGAATAAGCAAAATGTAATAAGCACATTTTTATCTTTTACTTATATGTATATGCCAAATATGATCACTTAAAAGTATTTCATTTTTCTTTTGCAAAGAGGTAAGCATTTTTTATTATGGCTGTCATGACATTAATAATTAAGCATAAATGTTTCACTTTCTCTGGTTTTATTATTTTCTAGCTGCATAGATGAATGGTTTGAAGTAAATAGATCTTGCCCTGAGCACCCTTCAGATTAAGCATCAGCTTCCTGTTTTATAGGTAATTCTCCTTTTTTGTTTTAATTGCCTTTTGAAGTGTTATTTGGATTATACATTCTTAACCGTTTTCTTTGCTTATCCAAACTACTCCTCATCCGTTCAGGTGTTTCATGAAATTGCCACAAGTCAGTCCCACTTCGGGCCCTACTTCTAATCCTGGTTCTCTTGCTGTTTCCACCGCAGCTGCAGTTACTTCCTCCACTGAGGTCTAGACCCTCAAAGTCATCTCTGAGGGTTGGAATCAGCTTCCTAACCCCTGTAGTGTTGATGTTTTGCCTTCTTCCCACGAAGCACTCATTTTTTTTAATGGTGTCTATAATACTGAATCCTTCAGGGGGTTTTCAGAGGAATGACTGTCTGGCAAATACAGCTTTGCAAAATGTATTTCTTGAATAAGACTTGAAAATCAAAATTAGTCCTTGGTTTCCTGGGCTCCAGAATGGATGGTCTGTTAGGCATGAAAACAGAAGTCATCTCATTGTACATCTCCATCAGAGCTCTTGGGTGACCAGGTACATTGTCAATGAGCAGCACTATTTTGAAAGGAATTTTTTTTCTGAGCAGTACGTCTTAGCAGTGGCTTAAAATATTCAGTAACCATGGTGTAAACCATGGTTTACATGCTGTTCTCCAGGTTTTGTTTTTCTGTTTATGTAGCAGAGTAGATTGAGCATATTCTTAAGGGCCCTGGGACTTTCAAGTTGGTAAGGAGCGTTGGCTTCAACTTAATTGCATTAGCCCCTGGCAAGAGTTAGCCCGTCATTTGAAGCTTCAAAGCCAGGCACTGACTGCTCCTCCCTGGCTATGAAAGTCCTAGATGACATCTAAGGCTGTTTTGTCTACATGCAAGTGTGTTGTGGAATGTAGCCACCTTCACTACCTTGGCTAGACTTTCTGAGTAACTTGCTGCAGCTTCTACATTAGCACTTGCTGCTTCACCTTGCACTTTTATATCATGGAGACGGCTTCTTTCCTTAAACTTCATGAACCAACTTCTGCCAGCTTCACACTTTTTCTTCTGCCTCCTCACCTCTCAGCCTCCATAGAATTGAAGAGAGTTGGGGCTTTGCTTTGGATTAGGCTTTGGCATAGAGGAATGTGGCTGGTTTGATCTTCTCTAGACCAGTAGAACTTTGCCCATATCAGCAATAAGGCTGTTTAGCTTTCTCATTCGTGCATTCAGTGGAGTAGCACTTTTAACTTCTTAAAAGAACTTGTCCTTTGGCCCGGCCAGCATGGCTAAGTGGTTGAGCATCAACCTATGAACCAGGAGGTCATGGCTTGATCCCCAGTGCAGGGCGTGCAGGAGAAAGCTGATCAATGATCCTCTCATCATTGATGTTTCTACCTCTCTCTCCCTCTTCCTTCCTCTCTGAAATCAGTAATTGAAAAGAAGAAGAAAAGCTTATCCCTTGTATTCACTATTTGGCTAACTGGTACAAGAGCCTAGCTTTTAGCCTATCATCTTTCAACATGCCTTTCTCACTAAGCTTACTCCTTTCTGGCTTCTGACTTAAAGTGAGAGATGTGTGACTCTTCCTTCCACATGAACCCTTATAGGTCATTGTAGAGTTATTAATTGGCTATTGTTCAATATTGTTATGTCTTGGGGAATAGGGAGGCCCAAGGAGAAGGATAGAAGACTGGGGAACGGGCAGTTGCTGGAGCAGTCAGAACACATTCAACATTTATCTATTAAGTTTGTCTTATGTGGGCATGGTGTGTGGTGCTCCAAAACATTTACGATAGTAACATCAAAGATCACTGATCACTGATCACAGATCACCATAACAAGTAGAATAATGACAAAGTTGAAATGTTGACATAGTCTTTATTGTAGAGGAGAGAGAACTATGTGGCGGTGATTTTTTGGTGATATTTTAAGCTTTAATTGGTCCTTCTGTGTGTCCTTGATCTGTTCTTTTGAAGAACACTACTCTTACGAGTTTTTAGAATAGTAAGTGTGAAAATTTACGGTAAGTAAAGCAGTGTTCATGGGGAAATGAATGTTTGTTTTGACTTGTATTACTAGTGTGGACCTTTGCTTAAATCAAAATGTGTCTACTTTTACACAGGTTTTCTTCTCTTCTCAAGATGCTTAAAAAAACAAGAGGAAATGGGGATCTGTCTCTGGAAAAACAAAAACAAAAAATGCAGGCATACTCAGCCAAAAATCTGAGTTCTGTGAGACTCAGTTGATGCAGAGGTGGACAATCATATAGGGAAAAACCCTGCTGGAGGGAGGACATTTGCCACAGAACTCAGTGCACCAAACATGACATAAGGACTCACAGGGATTTTGAAAATGCTGCACATCCCTTAATAGTCATCTACATAGGTAATGCTGATAAACATTTTGTATGCAGACGCCAAAGTTAACTGATTTAAAAGTTGATTTACTTCTTATTAAGTTCTCTAGAGCTGCGCAACTAGTGTTTTGATTTGTTGTGTTTTTTAGTTTGGGGGTCTCTTTGTTTTCCCCAACATGATTCTGCATTCATCTATTTTAAAATTGAAGACCACATATACTCTTCTTCCTATAAATTAAAGTCTTAAATGTGAAACCAAGAAATGTAATCAAGCAGTGAAACGTTCTCTGAATGTAGACCATGATCTCAAGTTCTAATATTTTCCCCCCAAGAGTGGAAAATAGACTTTTACATAGGAAAGCTAAAATACTTTAACATTTTAAGTTAAAAGTTTAATGTTATCAGAATGCAGTCCAAAGAGTAAATCAGGTTACATAATTACATTTTAATGAATTAAATATTGGATTGTCTACTGAATTGTAATTTCTTAAGTACATTCTTTCCTCTTAAATAAAACTGCTCAACAGCTAATCAGCATTGAATCATCTTGCAGCTATGCAACTTTTAAAAAAATACAAATTACCAGTTCTAAGTGCTGCCAGGTACAGTAATGTTGTTTTAACGGGTATTTTCATTTGTTCTTTTCATGTAATTATTTAATTGTGCTTTGCATCTCCAGGCAGTTTCCCACATTTGGGTAAATGTTTTAGCAGGTTGTAAGCTTCATAACTTATGAAAAGAGTAAAATAAAATTTTCTTGAGTGAAACTTGGAATAATTTGAGGGACTTTTATATACTTTTAAAAATCAGAAATCAATTAGGATACCAGATTTATAGCAGTTTGCATCTTTAATTTTCCAGATAATCTGGAAGTTAGTGTTTGATAAATGATTTTTAAAGCAAATATGAAGATTTTGTTAATTTATAATTTATTAGTGTGTTGTTACTGTAATTGAAAATGTTATAGAACATTTA